GTAACCATGGGAAAAAAAATGGCCAGTTTATAACCCTTGAAAAATATTGAGTTTGCATATTCACATAAGTGACTTGGCAGAAAGCACCACATACTCTCTCTGCTCTGAATGTGTTGCAGTTGTTCTTCGTGGCTTCCTGGGGCTCCTGGCTTCACGAGAAAGTGAGGAAGGACAGTGGTGAAGAAAAGATGGAGGAGGGAAAGTTTATTTTGGTACAGCAAAGGAGGTGGATATGTGAACTGACATGTGGAGGTGGAAAAGAGCAAGGAAGGTTATCAAGGTTTATTTGAACTGAAGGGAAAGATAAGAAGATGCTGGTAGGGACAGCAGAAGACTAGTAAGATTTTGTGATGGATGTAAAATAAATAAGAGCCAAGAAAGACAGAGAAAAACTGGGCATAGGCACTGTTAAAAGCTTTCAGTCATCTGAGACACATCCTCAATCATCCTGTAAATTATATTGGTTGAGAGAATGTTTACACCTTTATTGCTGAATGTTGGCTTCACCCTGTGAGGGTGTCACTGGGCAAATGCTTTTAAAAAGGAAGGGATGCCTCATTTTAATTAAATACTCTCTTTTTTAATGACAGATAGAAGTAATTAAAAAAAAGTATTGCTTAAGAGATATTTATCTTCTAAACGCTGCTTTAAGAAAAATACCATGAAAATCCAGTTATGATCTTCAAATCTGTACAAGTCATATATATACGTCAAGATCGCAGTGCTCTGAAGTGCTGAGGTTCCCCAGCAAAAGTGTTTTTACTTACTGTATGTTGGTGCTTTGCCAATTTTGCAGTGAATTGGTACACAAAATCAGTTGCAGAAATCTAAGCTCTGCTATAATGCACTCCTATAACATCATGAAGCAGAAGTCACCTCATGTAAATCAGAAGGTAGCAGAGCAATGAAAACCAAGCATTTGCTGAGCTGCAGTATTAGGCCAAATGACTGAAAGTGGGCTAAATCTTTCTCCAAGGGGAGAAGCAGTATTAGTGCACTTGGGGAAAGAATTTGGCCAGAGACCAGAAAGGCAGAGGGATCCGTTTACCTCAGTGGTGTTCAGTAAATCCTGAAGGGCTTCGACCTGTTTGTCTGTTTGTGGGAGAGCCCACAAAACTTCATCCCTGAAAAACAAAGGTATTTAGATAAAGCACAGGTACTTGGAACTAATCTAAGTCATGCAAAAGTAGAGAAGCAGGCTCAGTGTTTCTCATCTTCCCTGGCTTGGCTGCTATGAACTCAAAAAAGGTTCAGTAGGGAAGATGCTGAGCTCCGTTCCAGCTTCTGCTTCTGCCAATCAGTAAAATCCATGAAAGAGGTGATGCAGGGCTTGGGCAGCCAATATCTACTGCTGGACACTGAGATTGCTCCTGGGGGTTGGCACCAGCACAACAGCTGCCAGCCCCAGCTAATTCAGTGTGCACCATTGAAAAACCAGCCTGGACCAAGAGTACAGCTCTCCTGAGTTTCTTGGTCTCAGTCACTGTTCAGCACAGGCATGAGCCCTCCTAGCCTCCTGCAAAAGCCAAACATGATGTTTTGCAGATGTGCAGAGGCTACTACTATCATCATTCCCACTCCAGTCCAGTTTTCTTTATCTCCTCATTTCTATCCCTCTGCCAGGTATAGTTTCAATTGGTCTATACCACTGTCCTTCTCCTCTTTGCCTGATACTTATATTCCCCTTCTACCTGAAACCCATGGTCTGAACATGTGGAGGATTAAGGCACGGACCCTGCTGAGTGCTTCAGGTGAAAGCATGGGTGAAATCATTTATTGAGCCAAGCTGGCAATCTTATATACATGTGACAAATCCCCCTCCTGCATTTGGTCCCAGTCCTTGTTTACTGTAAGAATATTTTTCTGTTCTTCTTTCCAAGGTCACTGGTCTCAGTCCCGTGTCCTGCACATCTGTTCTTGTTATCCATTGTTTACAGTTGTCACGCACTTCTATTTTTGTGTCCCACGGTCTCATGGGAGACTATTTTTGTGTCCCACGGTCTCAGGGGAATTCCGTCTCCCACATGAACACACTGTACACAAGATGGTGCTTCCCAGCTACTCCATGCCTGACCCTACCATCAGTGACCGAAGTGAAATTCATAGAATCATAGAATGGTTTGAGTTGGAAGGGACCTTAAAGATCATCTGGTTCCAAACTGCCTGCCATGGGCAGGGACACCTTCCACCAGATCAGGTTACGCAAAGCCTCATCCAACCTGGCCTTGAAGACTTCCAGAGATGGGGCATCCACAACTTCTCTGGAGAACCTGTTCCAGTGCTTCACCACCCTCATAGAGAAGAATTTCTTCCTTATCTCTAATCTAAATCTACCCTCTTTCAGTTTAAATCCATTGCCCCTTCACTTTCTGGAAAGAAAAAATACCACCTTGCATTGTAAATCCAGCCCTGATCTTCAATGCCCTGCAAGCCATGTAGTTCAAAATTGCATTGACTAGATAATTAAAATGATTTGTGTGTGTAGAAGGAGGCTCAGGGGAATGTCAGATCCCTATTTCCATTTTCTGCGCTGAGGTGGCTCTTGTCCCTCTAATCATGCGGAGTTGGTGGCAGTGCGTAAACCAGGCACTGTGGAAGTTCCTGCCAGCCCTGTCTGCAAAGGCTGTCCTGAAAAGAAAACAGTCAGGGCTCTCAAAACTAGTGTTTTCGAGCTGCCTAACATGATTGTCACAACTCGTTGTTGTGACTGATTTCAAGTAGAGACCTGACAGCATCTGGCAAAAAGGTGATTCATCTTTTTCACTTTTAGCCAAGCTCCAAGCAATCACTGTTGCTTCTCTTAAAGAGCCAACAATGTGCCAGCCCTATTTTTGCCCCCACCATCATTTGGCAGAGCATCCAAAAGCAATCAGGCATAGGCAAGGTTGCCAGTTTGCCTATTTCTTTAGGCAAGTGCACTCCAAAGCTTGTGTTGGGGGCTACTTCAAAAGGGAATTTATCTTCTTGTATCTCACGGAGTCTTTTCACAGGGGAGACCAGAAAAGGGCATCTGCATCTGGTTTTGTCCTATGATTCCCACAGCCTGAGAGCATCATAATGAGGAAGCTGGTATGTGCTTGTACCCCACCATTTGCTGCACAAATATTTCAGCTGAGTGTGGTAAGTACTGGGCAGGTTGTAGCTAGCAGCAATTCCTCTATAGCTCTCATTGGTAGGACCTGAAAACACTGAACAGGCTGATCCAAGTTCTGCCCTTGCTCTTGCAGCCATGTTTAACATGGGTATTAACAGCTGAAATTGTAGTCATTGGGCTTCTCAGTTCCTCTGTTCCAATTTGACGTTTTACCCTCTTTCATTTATCTTCTGCCCCTCTTCTGTTAGAAAATACCCAGACGAAAGCTCTAATTATTGCCTTTATATCAATCTCAGAAACAAACCTCCACCCCCAGGTTCCTTGCACTGCCTGCTGCCCTGTTATGGCTGGACATGTTCATCTTGAACACACCTCTTCTCTTTCACTTTCTGTCCTCATGCCCTGCTTCCCTGGTTGCTCTTTAAGTTTGTCCTTAAGAGGATCCCTCTCACTACCCTCCTCTGATTTGCTGCCGGGGTTGCTGTTCCCCGTCCGTTTTTCCTCTCTCTTTTATTTCTGGATAAATGGAAGTCCAGCTGCCATCCCCACACTACAATGCTCAGGTCTTATCCTGTAGCTATGACAGAGTGGGTGGGATGTGTTACAGTTCATTTTAGATGGTTTCGATATCTTCATCTGAGCTAGTCACTCTCAATAAAGAAACAGGCACTTTCAGGGTCCAGTTAACAGGAGCTAATTTAGATGTGTGTGCTAAACTGGGATAAATTATAGCCTAAATGCACATCTTTTTCTCCACTATCTGTACAAGAAGATGAAGGGGACTTGTTCCTATGCAGAACTGTATGGAAAGCCTGTATAGTCAGATGAATCCCATGCAGGGGCCCTGGCCACCACCTCACAGATAGAGAGAGATATAGATAGTGTCACTAGAAGAGTGCTGCCAGCATCTTCTCGTGTCCTCCTGGACCACATAAACTGTTCATCTGCCTGGAGCACAGATGTCTGCCTGAGGGCTGTCTTTTCTCCCACCTTGCTGGCTCTCCAACAGCCTCCAGCCTTGCCCTTTCCCTGCAAGTGAGCTCGATGTCTTTCTAGTGCCACCAGCTCTTTCACAAGTCTCACAGTGTTTAGTATTTTTCTTAGAAGTCGAAATGCAGTAACCACACTGTAACCTTGCAAAGGGAAGCTTTAATACGTGACCGTTAAATCCTCCAATGCTAGCACTCAAATAAAAATAAAAAGTCAGATATAATATATCACCTTTAAATCTCATTATTTTAGCCATTCTCATAACAGGGGCTGGGAGAGTTAGAATTGTGCTTTCCAACGGGAAATGCCATATTTTTCTCTAAGGGTCAGATATTCAGTGTTTTGTTTAAACATGAGATAAATAAACCTTCCAGTAGCACAGAGCGATATTGCTCCACTGAATTCACCTAAAAATTTCTTTAAGTCTCCTCCTACTGTAACCTCCGTCAACAAAATACAATTGCAACACAGAGATGGAAGATCCTCTTTTTAAGGCATGAACTCAATGGTGTTCTCTTGTCACAGGTCTGCCACTGGCATGTGGTGCGGAGTCACAGAAGGGCTGTGAGACATAATTGACTATTATTTGTGTAGATATTTCTGTCCTGGGAGTAGGTTGTGTTTAATCGTGCTTCCTCTAGGTTGTTCATCTTGCTTAGTATCACTACATGAGCAGCTTATCCTTTTAGTTCTACCTACTAAAACATTTCAGGTTTTTAAGCCAGCTGTACATGTAGAAAATAACAGCACTCTGCCTGTCTTCATCTCTGACACATGTTCTCATATTTTAAGAAAGCATTTGGTTTCAGGGCATTTCTGAAGTTTATCGATAGGTAACAATAAAGCTGCTTCTGAAACATTATACAAATACCAAATGGTTATTCAAAAATGATTTATGACTGGAAAAACAATCATAAAAGCTGCTTTAGAAAGAAAACAGATTGTTAGCACTTTCTGAAATGGTTTCTCTTTCTACCTCAAGAAGTAATTCATTTAAGATCTTGTTTTAAGGCAAATGAAGCAAATTATTTTTTCCCATTAAGTTTCAGAATGCCCTTTATTGGCATTCAAAAGCACTGAATGAACAGAATTGATTTGCACTTAGACCGAAAAGAATAGTTTTAATATGATTAAAAACGTAGGATTTATGGATGCAAAGAAGACTTAGAATAATTTCATTTCCTCCACCATCTATATGTTAAATTGAACCACATATCCAATCACAAGAGCAATAAATAAATGTCAACCTTTGCCAAATGTTTTCTTATACAACATGGAGTTATTTCGCCTCAATACTTTCCCTGTCCCACTCACCACACACTAAAAGCCCAGTAGCACCATCAGATATTTACCTTGGAAGAGCGAAGACATGTGTCTCTTGAATCCAGATAAATAGGGTAAAAAAGAGCAGGTAAAACTTCATCTTCATGGCATCCACAATGAAACCAAATGCAATTGGAAAGCCGAGGGTTCAGGACCCACATTATTGATTCCAAAAATGTTATTTAAACAGTGGTTAAATTTTAATAGTGTCTCATGTCAACTCCAAGTTTCTGGTGGCTAAGTCAATATGACAGAGCTCCCTGGGGAGGTCCTGCTCATATTGATGTTGCCCATCTGGGAAAGGATAAAATACATTTTGGACATTTTCATATTGACAAGGCACTTTGTCATCTCAGCCTTTGTGTCATTTCATTGCGGCTATGAGCCATAGACATAAGAAAGAATACCAAGTGTGAAGTTTTTGTGATTCTCTAATATTTACAGAGGTCCAGCAGCATGTTCGGCATTCAGCACTCCTATGGCACATCACAGCCAAGCATGAAGCTGGGTGAGAAGAGTGGGAGTGAGGTTATGAAGTCCAAATGGAAAAATCCTGGGCAGGAAGGCTTCTTTTGCTGGCATTCACTAGCAGAGAAAACAAGGAGCAAATGGGACATGATACCTGCTTGCTATTGAGAGCCATTCGTTTAGTTCACGATGGAGCACATCAACTGGGTCTCCATCTTCCGCTGCTGGCCTCTACCTCTTTGGTTAACACCCCATCCATCCAAGGATTTCAGATTGCTTGTGCTGCTCCATGTCCTCTTTTCTGTGATGTTATGACATCCATGTATTTTCCATATGTCATACTGGGTTAGCTTTTCAAGAAAAAGTACCAGTGACTCTTCGTCTCATTATTATTAATTTTTGCATGCCCCAAGATTTGCCTCCCATATTTCTATCCACAGTTGTCTAGACAGGACGTGACGAAAAGCTGAATGAATTTGACATGTCCAGAATACGTGATCTCCATCTACGTTCCCCTCTTGAACAGTAAATCCGGCTTGGCTAGGACACAGCTTATTATCATGGTCCAAGTCCTCTTCTTCCATGAACCGACATAACAGTTCCAGGCATGGCACTAGTTAGAGAACACCCCAATGTCAGCCTTGTGCAGAGGAGAACTGCTCATTTACATCTCATCATCCTCACAGCTAAACTAAGGAAGTGTGGTCTGGATGATCGGGTAGTGAGGTGGATTGTGAACTGGCTGAAGGATAGAAGCCAGAGAGTAGTGGTCAATGGGACAGAGTCCAGTTGGAGGCCTGTATCCAGTGGAGTCCCTCAAGGGTCGGTACTGGGACCTGTACTGTTCAACATATTCATCAATGACTTGGATGAGGGAATAGAGTGCATGGTCAGCAAGTTTGCTGATGACGCTAAACTGGGAGGAGTGGCTGACACACGTGAAGGCTGTGCTGCCATTCAGAGAGACCTGGACAGGCTGGAGAGTTGGGCGGGGAGAAATTTAATGAAATACAAGGGCAAGCGTAGAGTCTTGCATCTGGGTAAGAACAACCCCATGTACCAGTACAAGTTGGAGACTGAACTGTTGAGGAACAGCACAGAGGAGAGGGACCTGGGCGTCCTGGTGGACAGCAGGATGACCATGAGCCAGCAATGTGCCCTTGTGGCCACGAAGGCCAATGGCATCCTGGGGTGTATTAGAGGGGGTGTGGTTAGTAGGTTGAGAGAGGTTCTCCTCCCCCTCCACTCTGCCCTGGTGAGGCTGCATCTGGAATATTGCGTCCAGTTCTGGGCCTGTCAGTTCAAGAGGACAAGGAACTGCTTGAGAGAGTCCAGCGCAGGGCCACAAAGATGATTAAGGGTGTGGAGCATCTCCCTTATGAGGAAAGGCTGAGGGAGCTGGGTCTCTTTAGCTTGGAGAAGAGGAGACTGAGGGGTGACCTCATTAATGTTTATAAATATGTAAAGGGTGACTGTCATGAGAATGGAGCCAGGCTCTTCTCAGTGGCATCCAAGGATAGGAGAAGGGGAAATGGATGTAAGCTGGAACATAGGAGGTTCCGCTTAAACATGAGGAAGAACTTCTTCCCAGTAAGGGTAACAGAACACTGGAACAGGCTGCCCAGCGAGGTTGTGGAGTCTCCTTCTCTGGAGATGTTCAAAACCTGCCTGGACATGTTCTTGTGTGATCTATCTAGGTAGTCCTGCTCAGGCAGGGGGATTGGACTAGATGATCCTTTGAGGTTCCTTCCAATCCCTAACATTCTGTGATTCTGTGATGTCCAGCACCAGGTTCACTCTCATGTTAGATCTTGGCTGAGCATGTAGTATAGGTGTAGAATGGGGGAATCAAACCCACTGTCTGATATAAAAGGTTTTTCAGGTAAGTGGTCCCCAGAGACACAACATGGTTTTCTTCCAGATGGAATTCATTCCAGAAGAGGACTGAGGGGTGAATCAACCTACATGCGCAATGGTAACATCAGGGATCCAAGACCTGGGCATGAATGGGAGAACTAAATTATTTGATGCTGTAGATATAGCTTAGGGTTATAGCTATACAACTGGGTGAAAGATGCCTGGGAGCAAACCCTGGAGTTAAGGTTAGGAAACATAAACTAGATTGCATCCACCAGCCTCCTCTAAAACCACTCTGGAGTGGTCTAGATCAGAGCCAGTGCTCCATTTAGGCAGGCAGTCGGGACTTCAGAGCTCAAATTCAGTCCTGGCTCTTTTTTATTTAGGAGGGCACACCTGCCCTAAGAAGCCAGACAGCTAAGTTTTAGATGGCTGAAGTCAGCAGAGTTGAGTCGCACTCCCCAGTGAGTACCCTGACATCAGCGTCTCTGTGAAAATACACCAACACTGAACATCCCCAAACTGGAGTTAAGCACAAATCATACACCAGAAGGAAAGAAAAAAAAGGCTCACGGGAAGCTAAACCACTGACATCTTACATAGATTTTGTAGTTCCTATTTTATCTTCTCTAGATATTATTCAAACAAATAGGAAGTTCTGGTAAAGTACAGAGGCCATTCCCTGCAAGGGCAGTGGGCAGTGGGTAGCCCCCTGCCACAGGGATTGGTTTTTAAAGCAGTGGCTCAGATGCTCTTCCATCACATGGGCAAAAGGAAGTGGCCAACAGAGGATAAAATACAGGAGAGGAAACTTGGTCATCCAGGCACACTTTTGTGTGGAAATGTCTGATGCACAGATATGAATTTAAAGAAAAATTGGATCTACCAAGATAGGTGTAACAGAGAAGACTGAAAAGCCAATGGAGTGAGGTTGCTGGTAACAAAGGAAAGAAAAGGATCATCTTTCTCTATGTCTTAAAGTGTTAATTAAGTGGAAAAAGGAAACACTTTCTGCTGTCTACCTAAGAAGAAAGTTTTGGACAAATGGTAGGTGTTAGACATTTTTGTATGTTGATTGCTTTTCCTGTGGGTTTTTTTTTTGGCTTGTTGCAAAGAGATGGTTCACATGCTGCTTGAAAGCTGCTCTTTTCCTACTTGCTTTTTGGTTTCTCGTATGTACTGGAAATATTTCACAGAGGAAAAAAAGGAAAAAATGGGTGTTTGAGGAAACTAAAGGCACTAAAGGAAACTCTGAGGGAAGGACAAACCAGAGTCTTGTGGTAGTTAAACTAATTGCACAGTTTAAAACACAATAAATAGAAAAGTAAACGTAGGATGACAGATCAAAAAATAAATAAAAAATAAAATGGAAGATGTGACTGACTGGGAGGCAAAAATTTATGTCCCTACGCCTCTTTCTTGTTTGAAAGCCTGAGAGGTCTCGCGACTCAAGGTAGGACACAAACTCTTGCCTCTCAAGCATGTGCTGGACATTGCTTATTTGGATCAGTCATCTTTCTGCTTTTTTTTCCCCTTTATTAGTATTTGAACAATGCAGACAACATCCTCCTTGCCATCTTTGATCTCTATCCTTGGATGACTCCCAATGGCAGCTCCACACCCACTACAGCCCCTAGCTCCATCCCAGCACCACCACCTCACCAGCAGCAGCCAAACTGTTTGAGTCTCGTGCCTAAAATGAGGTTCCTGGTCAGTAAGCACCTCCATAAAGTGGGCTGATTTTCGAAACCATGGAGGTTGCCATTGCAAAGATATTTGTGCTGTGACACACGTCACACACAAAGACAATTTCTATGACAGTTCAGTCCCTGACCAGGTCAGGTTTCCTTTCCTAATATGATCTATTTATACTGTGTTGCTGCAGTTTGTTCTAATGAGCAGCCGGCTATACATTGGTTACCCTCAAAGCTGTGTGAGCTGCTGAGGAGCACTCTAGCCATGCCCAGGAAAAACATCAGTAAAAAAACCTACCGACATAATAGAAAGGAATGAGAATGTATTTAGACATCAAACTTAAGCATTAACTTCTCTGCTTCCACCCAGCTGTTAGAGGTTGTCATTTGTCCTTTGACTTATGTTGACATTCCCCCTATCCGTTTGTCTCATCTGCTTAGGAAGAGAGAACCATCTCCTCTAACACCATCTCCTTCCCAGTGCAGACCTGAGCAAGCCGTCTCGTGCCACTTGCATGGGCACTGCAGAGAAGTGGGCACTGTTCAAGAGAAGGGTTACTCACTTGGAGGTAGGAGGTGGCATTTGTTCCTTTTAATCCCATGAATTCTATCTCTCACCCTCAGCTTGAGGTCCTTGTTATGGTCAGAAGCAATATGCAGTGTTCCGGGCTACAAAGTCACAAATTAAGATGATATTCTTGCTCTGCTTACAATAGTGAATTGTTTATTAACCTTCGAGAATTTCTGAGAACCTGGGACGCATTTCCCAGATAAGCTGGGGAGAAAAATGCAGTCTTAGGAAACACTGTGAAGGGCAACTATAAAAACAATTGAGTTAATAAAAATATTTCATTTTTATAATTTCAACTGTTGTTTGAATTTTTACTCAGTTTCAAGGCTTTTTCATAATTTTATTGAAAATGAACTCTCATTTCTTTGCTCTTTTTCTGAAGATCTGGAGAAAATAAGATTGAATTTAGGAACTTAGTGAAATGTCAGCTGTTTGAAAGCTTCCTTTCTTGAACAAATATTATTTTTCTCTACTTAGGAAATTCAGCAAAACTGATCTTTTTCAGCAACCCTTTTT